GTGTTCCTTCAGGAGGTCAGCACTGATGGCGGGTAAGGAAGCTCCCTCCCTCACCCGGGCCTCCCTGTCCCATAATGGGCAGGGGCGTTCCATGGGACTGATGAAAGACCAACGCACAATACTCATTTAGTAGGTTGGCTTTTTCCTGGGCGTCAGTTGTCCCATCTGGTTTAGCAGGGGTCCAATGTTGCCCTTGCTTTTCCTCCTGCTCCCCACATATCTAAAAAAGGACTTTTTATTATCCTTGATACTTGTAGCCAGTTGGAGTTCCGTCGCAGCCCTGGCTTTCCTGGTTCGCTCCCTGCAGGTCCGGCCTTTTGGTTTCCTTCTAAAACATCTGGCCTTCCTTGGGTACAAAATTCCATGGAAGTTTTAGGACTTTTTTGATTAAAACCAAGAGGACCATGTAATAATTGCTCATTTATAAGCTACCTTTTACATACTTGCTAAAGAAGGATTAACAATCTAGATCAGTACTTCTAAACATGGGGTCTCCCAAAGGCCATTACTTCTTCACATAATATTCATAATAACTTGGGGATGGCTAGTCTTGGTACAAATTTCCAAGTGTGTTTGCATGCGTTTCATTATTCTTTTATTCAGAAAGTTGAGCATGTATTCAAGAAGCAGAAAGTAATGCCTTGTGACTAAACCAATCATGTGCAACCAAATGGTGAAAGGCCAAAGCAAAGAGTTAGCAGTAAATAAACACAATGAAATGTGTCCATGTCAGCTGTTCAGATAATTAGGGATAACAAATACAAGGACAAATATCAAAGTGTCATCAAATTTGATTTGCCAGGAGAAGAAAAGAGCAGGCTGAAGAAACGAGCCACACACACACAGGCTCACTAGTCTAACTTTCTAAATCTGAGAGTTAAGCTGGGATTTCCATAGCAGCATGTGAGTTGTGTGTTCAAGTCCCACTGAGTTCCAGGGAGGGTCCCTACCTCAGCCCACTTTGAAAAATCCTAGCCTTCAACCCTTGCTACACCCTTGCCATCTTTCTGCTCTGAATCCCTTTTACATTTAGGCCAAACGGGAAAGCAGAATGATGGGCCCGAACTACAAAGAGCAATTTTTGGAGTCTTCCAATCTAGGTACATGTGGACCCGGAATTATGGTTCAGACTAAGCTAAAGTCCACTTGCAAAATTCAAAACCAAATCCATCTGGGATCTTCACTTCCACACTGGCTGTGTCCTGGAAGTGATAAAAGATGGAGATTGTACTCTTGTGTGCTGTCTCATCTTACTTCCAGCCAATCTGCAAACATGAAGTAGGAATCTTATGGACAGCTGAGTATTCAGGCTTTTGGCTGCTTTGGAGTTTCTCCTCCCTGGTTAATTTGGAGGTGGGTGTGCTACCCCTGGCCACATGTGGCTTCAGGGTCCTAGGGTGTCACATAGCCTTGGCCAACCTCCCAGTCCCTAAGGCTGAGGCCACCTCTCTGTGGAGCGCTTTCCCCATGCGCCGGAGTACATAGTCTAACTATTTACATAGTTTATTATTTACAAAACAGTCAACATATGAATGAAGTCAATAGCAGAACAGGATATCAATAATCTAATTGTCAAAGGCATCAATGAACTAAAACACTGTAGACAAATTGAATCAAAAACACCCTCAGTACAACTGCCAGCGTAAACCTTGAGACTCCAGTGCATTTCAACAGGAGCACGCTGGTGCTGCTGCTTCAGAAAGCCCTGATCTCCGCTAGAGCCTGTGTGGGGAAGAGCG